TATAATTGCATTGCTTAAGGTTTTCAATATCCTATTCTGCTGTTGTCAAATGAAATTAAAAGATGTTCTTGGGAGACATGAATTTGTGCCAAAGACTGTCCTGTTTAATTGACCCAATGAGGTTTCTAAACTCATATGAAAGCATTTATTTTTCTTGAAAGGTTGGATGGCCACCATGTTGTGTTTGGCAAGGTGTTGTCTGGCATGGATATTATATACAAGATTGAAGCTGAAGGAAAACAGAACGGAGTGCCCAGACATAAAGTTGTGGTTTTAGACTCTGGTGAAATGCCTTTGTGACTTACCCTCGTTGCAGTTGATCAGTTTTCTTGTTCCCCTATGCAAACTCATCATAGGAATGGTGATAGATTTTGTACTCCTGTTATGTCTCAAGTAATTTCAAGTTTGCGTGTTTTAAAGCTTACACGCCCACAGTTTTATTGTCACTGTGAGCACATTGATGTGTTTAGGCGATTAACATTAAGGTTACAGCACTAATATTATGTCTCCGTGGGTTTATGAGTTCTGCCTTGGATGGTCGGGCATCATGTATAAGACAGTTGAAGAGTTCCCTTTGTCAGCAGGATGTTGCTTGACAGTTTAGATTCTTCCTTAAAATCGAGAACCTTGCAAGTGCGACAGATCGTGGACTGATCAAAGCGTCCATTCCATTTCCATCCATGTTTGGGTGCTGCTCCCCCCGAAAGGTCCGAATGCTTATTTTCATAGACCTTTCTGCGCGCCACCGTAGTTTAAAACAGCCGATAAAAAGCTTTATTATTATTATTATTGAAAGTTTACATCCATGTTAATTTTTAAAATATTTTTTATTTGAAATATATTAAAATAAATTTTTTTATTCAAAAAAAATTATTTTTAACATTAATATATTAAAAAAATTAAAAATAAAAAAATTAATTTAAAGTAAATTTTTTTTTTAATTTTTTTAAAAATATTTTTAAAATACAAAAACAAATAACTAGAAAAGAAGTTACCAGGTAATAAGAAATGTTTCACAAAATTTCAAGAAATAATATATTTTTTTTTATTTTTTAAAATTTATTCTTAAGATTGTAATATCAAAATTATTTAAAAATATTTAAAAACTAATTTGAAATTATTTAAAAATATTAAAAAACTAATTTGAAACAAAATAAAAATTAATTTTTTAAAAAGATGTTTTCTAATCACAAAAATAAACAGGATCTAAGTAAATTATCACATGCCCTTTTCTTTCCATAATCAACAATGAGGATCTTATTGCCTATGCCTAGATAAGTGTTTGTTATACTTAGATAAGTGTTTGTGTTATGTTGTGGATCAGGTAAGAAAATTTTTAACATAAAAGAAAAATGTTCATATAACATTAGTGTTTTTAAAAAAATAAAAAAAATATAATATTTGGATTATTTATTTAACTGGATTTAATCAACTTGATTAATTTAACAAAATGACTTAAAAAAGACATTGTAAATAACACAAACAAAAAAAAAAGATAAAAGTTAATGATAAAAATTATCATGTCAATATCATACTTGGAGAAAAAAGAATAAAAGCTTATTGGAGATTTATTGTTACTCCGCCATAAACACCGCTCAATCACCATAAAAGGCTTCTTGAGATGGTTTAAATGTCATTATGAAAGGTTCCATATTGACATCAAAAAAAGTTGCAAGCATTGTTAAAGTAACGATTTAAAAGACAAACTAAATATAATATAATGAGATGAACATCTCATGTTTATATTTAACTAATTAATTTAATATAGAATTTTCTAAAAAAACTAAAGTTAATAGAGAACAATAAAATAAAAAGACTCGAGATAACTTAGGTCAATATTAAAATTAATAAAAAAATCCTATAAAAAACAAATAAAAAATAACATAGTTCAATTTCCTATTAAAAAAACATCAAAGGATAAAACTGAAAAAATATAAGTTTAAAAAAAAGAGAAGGAAACCAAGCAAGCCCCAATAAATATTCTAAACTTAAGTTAATCTTTCAAACTGTAAAATTTTAAATTCGAACTTAATTAATAAATTTATTTTTCAACAAATTCAATGTCAAAGCACGAAATAGGGAAAAAAGTGATTTAAAAAGTTTTCAATGAAAAAAATTGCAATTAAAATAATAGGATTAAATTGGTAAAAAAACTTAAAAAGAATGAAATTACAAAAAAAAAATTGAAAATCATCTCATATAAAACAAATATCAACTAAAAAAAATAATGATCAAATTTTAAAGATAAAATAATTGAAGAAGGATGAAATTAAAAATAAATCAAATCCATAAATTATCATAAATAAAATAAATAATAATAAAAAATGAATTAAATATAAATATAAAGATATAACAAATTAAACGATGTTTTTAAAATTTTACAGGTCAATGCAAAAATCAAGAAGTAAAGAAGTAAAAAAATTAAAAAAAAGGATTGATGATGCCAAATCAAAAATTAATTTGGAGAACGCGTCGCGCCAAGACATGTTGAAAGTCGAGACGAATCCAACATCAACTTGGAAACCGCCGTATAACATCTCAAATACTACCCAAAAAAACATGAAAATAATCTACACAAGCTAGTCAAGTTTTTTTTTTAAATAATATCTATATTAAATCAATTATGGAAGAGCCTTAAGTAAACTTGATTGTTAAAAAAAGAAACAAAAAACTACTCACTGTCTAAAAAATTGAAAAAACGATAAAGCACATAAAGCTAGATTTTAAAAAAATTGCTTTTACAGATGATTAAATAATTTTACTGTACTAAAAAAATGAAGTAAAAACCTTCTTTGCCGCCTCACATGTCATAATGTGTCAAAGAACCATCTTACCTAAAAGTTTAAGCTGTTAGGTGAGGTTCTAAGATATGATTTATATTATTCTCTACACACCCCCTCAAGTGAAAGCCTTTTGGGCTTTAAACTTACACAGGCCCACATCACCTTGTGCTTAATTTTTTTATCAAATAAATGAGGATGATGAGATTCAAACTCAAGACCGTTTGATCATCAAGGTTTTGATACTATGTCAAAGAACCATCTCACCTAAAAGCTTAAGCTGTCAGGTGAGGTCCTAAGATATGATTTATATTATTCTCTAACATAATACACACACTAAGTAAAAACTCATAAAAAAAAATCATTTTTCAGTTTTAGATGAGTTAGGAGTAAGCCTTCACTAATAAATCATTTAATATGTATTTGGGCGGTGTTGATTAAGATTCCAGTTTCATTACCAGTTCATTAAAAACCTAACGCTCAAGAATGTTGCAAATCTTACAAGGATGCTGTAAATCTTTTCTTCATTGAAAAGGTAGTGAAACTTTCTCAATCTTTAAATTCTAGGTTTTTTTTTTTTTAAAAAAATTGAACCAGGATCCTCAAATAAAAAACTCAATTCCTATTTATTGTGTGTGTATCCGTGTGCGTGTGTATTTTTTCAAATGAAATAGAATCCTTTTGTTTTTTGTTCTTTAGATTAAAAATGAACATGAATACTGTTAAGAATTGTGCGGGTTGAGATTTTAGAGCGTGTTTGTCTACGCTGTTAGGTCTGTGTTTTATTTAAAATACAGATGCAACAATGTTTGGTAACCTAAAAAAACATAAAATATTATTCATAAATCCCACTAAATTATGCGTGTTTGAAACGCTGGAAAACGAAAGTAAGTGCTACCTACTTCTTACGACTGTACCATACTGCACTGTTTATTGAACAATGCAGCATCTCAATAGGAGCACTTTCACTTAATAGTGTTTTTTTTTTTTATATCAATGTATAGTTTTTTTTTTGAAAAATCAGTATAATTAATTAATTTCACTCACACTGTTCACGTAAATATGAATAGTAATTTTTATTTTAAAAAATTAGTTGAAGGTGAATTAAATTTATTTATACTATAATCTCAATTTTATTCTTGATAATATTTTATTTAATTTTATTGCACGCTCACAAAATTATGAAAATTGTAGTTCTTATCGGATGAATTTTGTATGTAATAGAATTGTAGATAGTTTAATAGAATAATAATTTTTTATATATAAAATATGATTTATTTCACGATAAAATAGCAATAATTAAATCTATAATAATTAAATTAAAAATCATAAATATTAATATATATTTTTAAAAATTATTTTATAACCTCAATTTCAAAAACATTCATAACTAAATATATTAAATTATTTTTTGTTCAACCTCATTTTCAACTATAGTTTTAACCAAACACATATTTTTTTCAAATCAACCTCAATTAAAAATATCTTTTATAAAATAATTTTTTTCAAACCACGACTATAATAACAACCACAAAACCAAACACACTCCTAGGCTCTCTAAATTCTAACATGATAGCCGCGGTCTCTTTGTGCACGCCTCTGTGCAAAGCCACCAGCAACTAACGAAACCACCATCCATGGCAGCCAACGAACTTTCACTTCTCCACGAGACCACACCAGCAGCCCGCTCTCTCTCTCCTGTTGGCAGCCTTTTCTTGCATCAGTTTTTAAAGAGAAACAAGGGGTTTCATTTTCTCCTGTCGGCCCATAGTCCTTTTCTAATCTTTAAATTTTCTCTTAATTTCCTATAGCATTCAAATCTCAATGTCCACCTTTTTCAAACGGAATCACGAAAGGTTCTGTTGTTTTGTTGTTCGAATTGAAAATACAATAGAAATTGGTAAGAAAAAAATTGCTGTCAAAGGGACTGGGTCAAGGGATTTAGAGATTGATTTCCGTTAAGTTCAGCCATAATAAAGGCAGACACAAAAATGTCCCCAACAAACTCAAAGAAGCCAGGTAAGCGGACAACAATTTTGGGTTTCGATCATAACGTCTAACACCATATAAGCTGTGTTCTTGAGATGGCACATTAACTGTAATTTTGATGGTTATAACTAACTCTATCATCTATATTAAGCCCTGCACGCAGCAGCAACAGAGAGCACTTTGTACAGAAAAAGAAGAAACAACATTCATATAGAAAAATTCTTTTTATTTCCTCTCTTATTTATTCCCCTCTGAATTTTTACAAGAGAGAACGTAGCCGAGGTTGCCATATTGTTGCCTTGATTGCCGACCGAGAGGGCAAGGATGCAAGGCAGTGACAAAGCAGAACTAAAATATACAGCTACGGAAATATATTTTAATGGTTATACAATAACCGCAAACCTCTCTTCAGGTGCACTTAATGTATGTAGTTATGAAGCTGTGAGCAATTCAACTACCGTCCGGAAAATTTCGAACCCCTTTCTAGATGCTACCCCATTCGTCACAAACCTATGCACAGCGATACTGCTGATTCAATTGCTCTTCCTTCTCTTCCATCGTTTGCCTCGTTTCTTCTCCGAGTTGATTGTAAGCATCCTGTACACCAATTGATCTTGGATATTCTTTCTTTTTTCTTATGCCTTACAATTACTTGAATCTTGTTAATTTATGTATTGCACGAGATGACAAATAGAGTAATTTTGTGTTGTTTTGGATGTTAGACTGGTCTACTAATGGGTCCTATGGCGCTCGGAGCAAACGCGCTTTTTTCAGAATACACTCATCCTATGAGACTAACTGGGGCGACAGAGACTTTAACAAATTTGGGAGTCATTTACTACATGTTTCTCGTGGGTTTACAGATGGACTTAACCACAATAAGAAGAATCAGTAAAGGTGCATGGGGCAATGCTTTGTTTGGAATTCTATTACCCTTAGGCATGGGAGCAGGTTTATTTCACCTACTACCTGGAAAAACCCACTTTGAGAATCCTCTTGGTGCCTGGTTTTGGTCTGTTGCCCTCACAGTCACAAGCTTCCCGGATCTTGCTCAGATCCTTTCAGACCTGAAGCTTCTACGAACAGAAGTTGGACAAATGGCCATATCCTCAGCTTTTGTTAGTGACATCGCATCTTGGAGTTTTCTTGTTGTGACAATAACAGTTAGTAATGGGAAAACCCGTGCCTTCATCCTCCCGACCCTTGCCTTCATATTATTCTGTTGGTTTGTGTTACGTCCGGTTCTTTCGCAGATTATTGACAAAGATTCCTCAAAAGGAGGCAACTACAGTGACCTTTGTATATACTCTATTCTTACTGGGGTGGTCGTTTGTGGATTCATCACAGACGCTTGTGGTTCCCACTCTATGATCGGAGCTTTTATGTTTGGACTTATTATACCTGATGGAGAGCTTGGAATGATGATTATGGAGAAACTTGAAGACTTTGTGCCAGTAATCATGCTTCCTGCCTTTTTTGTGCTCACTGGGACTAGATGCAATATTCTTGATATGTTTTACAACATTAATCCTTTCGCGGTTCTGGGAATTGTAGTCTTAGCTTGCTTAGCCAAGATTATAAGCGGTTTCTTGGTTGCCATGTACTATGGCATGCCAGTTCGTGAAGGTGTCGCCCTCGGAGTTCTCATGAACGCCAAAGGGGTTTTGGCTTTGATTATTCTTAATGTTGGTAGAGACATAAAGGTACAATCACTACTTCATCAACTTGAGTTCGTGTTGAATCACCATCACCATGTAAGATAGCATGTCATGTCTCTGACAAATAAAAATTAAAAATTAAAAATTAAAAATAGAAGCCTGCCTTGTTATCCTGGCACTGGCTTCCAACGTGATTAGTTCTTAGGTATCAAATATCTGTGTAACAAATAATAATGAAAAAGAATAGGAAACTATAATTCACCCTCAACTTGAATAGTTCGATTTTTTTTATCCTCTAATTTTCTTGCAACATGTTTTTACATACAGGCAGTGGATAACCAACCGTTTGCTATAATGGTGATGACAATTTTATTCATGACGATTCTTGTAAAACCGATCCCCCTTTGGGCTTGTAAGACTACCAAGCATTTCAGGAAATACAAACTCCGGACCTTGCAAGAAAGCAAACCTAACTCAGAACTACGAATACTTGCATGCATTCATACTACTCGCAACCTATCAGGAATACTCAACCTACTTGAACTGTCTAATTCAACCGAGAAATCACCAATTTGTGTATTTGCCGCGTGTCTAGTAGGTCTGAGTGGACGGACTAATGCCATGCTAATCGTTCACGATGAGAATCGTAATTCTAGTGGCCAAAACTACCCCCCTGCCCGTGGGAGATCAGATGCCGACCATATCATCAGCACTTTGGAGAACTACGAAAGAAGAAACCAGTCAATGTCCTTGCTGCCACTGACAGTTGTATCTCCTTACACCTCCATGCACGAGGATATCCATAACCTTGCGGAGGACAAACGCGTCACTTTCATCCTAATTCCATTTCACAAACAATCTGGTGCAGAAGGGATGCAACAAGAGAACTCTTCTATCAGACTAGTAAACCAAAATCTACTAACAAAAGCTCCATGCTCTGTGGGGATATTTATTGATCGAGGCCTCAGTTTGAAGATTTATAACGAGGGTAGCCATCGCAGAGAAAAGCTAAATTTCGCCATGTTTTATACTGGGGGACATGACGATCGTGAGGCCTTAACTTATGCTTGCAGGATGGCAGGGTCTCTGAATGTGAGTTTAAAAGTTATACGATTTCTTCCAGGTAAAGAAGCAATAGAAATGATGGATATGGAAGAGGAAGTGGAGGGTGAAAATCAAAGATTTGTTGATGATATGTACCTGAATGAGTTACGATTTATGACAATGTGCAATCCATCTGTAACTTGGGTGGATAAGTCGGTAAATAGCGGGGATGAAATTATCATCGCAGCAAAAGATCTAGCAGATGAATATGATCTATATATTGTGGGGAGGGGTCAGGGAATGATAAAGCCATTTGCTTTGGGGCTATCGGAGTGGAGTAACTGTGAAGAGCTTGGGCCACTAGGAGATGCATTATCAACATCTGACTTCGTACAACACGCATCGATTCTTGTAGTCCAACAACATTCTGTTTCAACCATGAAAAACAAGGGCATGCCGCAGCATCAAGAGAAAGCTGGACTTGAAACTTGGAAATCTCCTTTGAGTAGTCGTGACCTTCTGAACATTGTAAATCACAGAAAGAAGACAGATGAAGAGGATGATTAAATGGGAGGCTTATAGCATATCATGCAGCCAAATTCAAATGGAATAAGGTCTTATGTAGAAGTTCTGCCTACATCGATCACATTAAGTTTTTGGTTGATTGTTTTGGGCTTAAAAGAAATGGATGTACAGTTGAGCATGGATAATTTTTCTAAATCATGAAATTAAAGATAGAATGTATTGCATCAACTCAATTACCATGGCAACACGCAAATAATCAGTTTCCATGTTTAATTGCCACTGTGCGATTGCATCAACACCCCAAACAGCCTTGGCCCGGACATTTTTTTTTTAATATTTTTCTTGTGCTAGAATGCACACATCATGCATCAATCTCAAGGCAAGGACCGAGACATAACTGCAGCTTGGTTGTTTGAATTGAGAGTGTTGGCAGGGTAGCAATGAGCAACTACTCAGCTGGTTTTCTCTTCCTCCCGAGAATTGAAGCTCTCTGCAATCTGGGGCCACCCATCCGCCATTTCTTAAAGGCTGCCATGGATGATTGAGCTGCTTCATACACTAAGCATGTAGAGGTCAATGCAACATAAATGTGAGGTTGCTTTCATGCAGAGAAATGAAAGGATGTTATTGCAACATACATGTGAGGCATGAAAGCAGAAATATATGCTCAAACAAGTAAGAGAATCTCACAAGAAGTTTCTTCTCTAGTTAGGAGCGTCAGAAATTTGGAAGCTGTGGCAAATGCTGTGGTGTGTGCCTTGTGTAGGATTTCCTTATACCTGATTCCAAATGCATATGGGAGCAACAATCCAATGGTTTTATCACACCTGAGCATCATTATGAATAACCAAATTAGTCCTCATAAAGAGAAGGTAAAAAGCTTGGTGAGAATCAATTTGTTAACCGAAGGAAGGATTGCTGTTGTAAGTGCAAATTTAATGTTAATAGGCACGACAGACAACACCACTTATCAACTGTGCAGTCTTGCCACTAACAGGACAAAAACACACATTCTAATTTCATTCTAGTAGACGAAATCACAGCAATTATGCAAAGGTAAATTTGGATGTAACATTGATAAAGAGAGTGCCAAGCACGACCTTCACAACTTATAAACTCAACAACAGTACAGTTTATGTCTAAGCCTTGAGGTTCGATCAAAAGGTAAAAGGGCCCATGAACAATATAGATTGTGAAGCACCCTTTCGCAACATAGAAACTTCTCAAAGCTAAAAATGAAATCAGAACACATGGAACAAAGTTATTCATTTTCACATTTTACTTCTCCCATTGTTTCCTTTCTATGGCAAGATAAGGTCATTTAATTGTTCCCTTGACTTGAGAATGAAAACTTGATAGGATTTGCTTTTAGATTTCAGGTGCACTGACATCTGCCATCGAACAAAACCTAGATAGAACTTGGCAACCTAGAACTACTAACAGAAAACATGTCTAAGGTTAAAAAAGAATGTCATACTCATATCCCAATATTTTCTTTGAATGGAGCTAATGAAGTGGACAAGATAAACATTATTCAATCCATAAATGGTTCAGGTGGGTGGTAAAATGATATTCTCCTGTTACAGTACTGAAGATCCCTCATTCTTTTCTGGTTGTTTGCCAAACTTCTTGATCTGACATAGAAGATGCCCAAATTTGATTTGATACTTGAAACCACCGATCCACTTTTGGATTTCATGATGTGTTAGTTTGTATCTAACAAATAATTGGATTGATGTGGAATTGTCAATGTAATAAAAAGACTGACAAAATCAAAAGTTTAAGGTGTCACACAGTCAAGGTCATCAAATATTGAATGCATTGAGCTGCCTATTTCCCGCTCCAAATTGAGAAAGCACCTCTCAGTGACAATGCTTCACAGATTGGATACCATTTTAGGCAGGTAGTCTTGTGTGGCAGTCCAGCAAAAGGCACTCAAAGAACACATCACAATGGCTGTTAAATACACACATGAACGGATGGGCAGGCAAAGAGACTCACAGTGGGGCTAGCTTGCATCCAAATTCATAGAAGTAAGGGCAGCGGGATCTCAGGTCCACACATGCAGCATCTGCCTGGATTTCCAGCCTTGTTCTGGTGAGGACAACAGCAACAAAAAGACACTAGCTATGAGACATAAAAAGAACCACACAAGTAAATGGATGTTGGATGACAGCATAAATGAACCATTCTCTATACTTGTACACATTTGATGATTCTTTGGGGACTCAACTATCATACCAAGCAATTAATTTGACTAGCTCCTAGAAGTGAAATCAAGTCTCTAAAATCAAGGAGGGGAAAGCCCTCCATAGAGGACTTGAGCAGAGTTTCTTGCGATATGACTCTATGGAACTACATTTGCATTCAAGCTGCAACAACAGTAACATACATAATTTCAAGAAGAAAATTGCCAGCCTTAAGAGATACAACCAGACGTCTCAACTACAAATAGAAAGCAGCCTGTATGAAAAATGGATCTCCCACTAACTCACTTGATAATGTGAAGTAAAAAAAAGATTCAGTTTGAGCAAGTAAGCTATCTTTACTTCTGATTAAAACAGGCTGGGACGCTTATCGATACTGCTTGCCTCATGTGCAATTCGCGAGCAAGCCAGAAAGGTAGCTCTGTCTTTGAACCTTGTTCAATCTGAGTTATAATTAACACATGGAAAACAACGTGTGAGTGTCTCAAAGGAAAAAAAAAAAAAACGGTAATTTGACACATGAGTTCTCTTTCGGATGCTATTTTTACTTAAATCTTACATGTCCTTTTTCGGTGCTTTCATCGATTTTCACTCCATTTATAGCCTTTTGAAACACAACCGGGACAAACTGCAAGCCATACCACACATGCGCGGCACAGAAAATTAGTTATGTTAGAAATGGGAAATTTAGGCGTTAAAATGTAAGATCAAGATTAAATGATATTTCTCACCTCTTCCTCCGCGAGAATATCATCGATTTCATTGTAACTTGCCATTCAGTTTATCGGTTCTGTATCTTCTCTATGATTTCTCCAATACAGAAATAATTTCCGAGTACTTACACGATGCAATTACTTCCTGGCTACAAATTAAACGATGAGCAATATAATTAAAAAATACTCCATAAATAACAAGAAACCTTTTTTTTTCAATCAGCAAATAATCCTGCTTGTCAGTAACCAAAGAAAATAGAGCTGACCTCATAATTAATATTTGGAGGAGCCGTACATCCCACGTGCCATCAAAATCTAGCAGTTTCCCGGACAATTTATAGCTTTGTTTCCGGTCAGATTAAGAAAACGAATGGAAAAAACTTCCTAGAAATTAAGAAAAGAATACCTCAATTTTATTCCGGTTTTGAAAAAGCACCAATCTGTAAATAGAAGAAAACCTAATTTGAGAAAATGCCTAATTCTATGGAAATCCTGAAATAAGGAGCGATGTGTTTGCTTCAAAGGAGAAAGGTAGAGTTATGAAGAAAATAAAATAGTTAGGAAATTCGGGGCCAGAAAAAAGATTTTCAGAGAAATTGCCTAGGAGATTTCTGCTTTCGGCTTTTATTTTCTCCTGAGAGCGCGAAGGATATGATGTACAGAGAGGAGGGAAACTTGAAAACTTTAAAATTGGGTAGGGTTTCTATGCAAGCAGGTGTAGGATATTACGGTGTTTGTCAATCAGAGGCCGTTATAGTTTTGGATCAGAGATCCCCTGAAAATAAGGGGTGTTGAATTTTAGTATCCGTGGATACCCCCACGGTTCGAGAAACTCGTCTTTTTAAACCCTACCGTTTAAAACGTATAATTGGCCGCTTTAACAAAACATAATGCCAGCACAAGCGGGTTCGCTATTGTTATTGAAGCCAATACTGTGATTATAATGCCTTGGAAATTATAAAATAATAAAATAGTATTAAGGACGTTATAAATGTAAATATTTATTAATTTGCAGTCGTTTATAAATTACTTTTTATTATTTAGGCAATATCTTTTTTATCCTTTAGAGTGACAAGTATTTTTAATAAGGATTTTTAATTATTCGTAACCATCATTATTACAAAGTAATTAGTTAAAATACAAAAAGATAATGTAATTTTCTTTAAAATTCATCTTATGTATCTATATAACAGTTCGAATGATTTACTTGATACCGGATGATTAATTAAGTTATTGAGTAATAAAATAATTTATTACGTTATAATAAATAAAAATGTTAAATAGTTTATAATTTGAAGACGTTGAGATTATAGTGCCGTGAAGTGACCACACCAAGCCAAGGCTATAAGCATCACCGATTCTATCCTTCAGATTAATTTGCATTTTGGAAACGATTATATGTTGCTACCAGAACCTATGGCTATACAAGGAACAATTCAATTAAAAATAAATGGAGTTCAACATCAGTTGGCAAGAGTGAACTGTACTGTAATTATCTCACTCTAAGCTAATTATTTTTTGCACGGACTCTGGAAGGAGAAGCTTGTTTTCTTCGAGCTGTAGTTGCGGCTCTGGCATTTGAAAGAGGAGTGAAGAGAGTTTTGCTTGCAACCTAGTCCCAGTGAACCTCCCTGTGAAAAGTCCACTCAGAGGGGTTTAGAGTTCGTTTCCCATCAGCGGTAACAAGATAGTAAGGTGAATCCTCTGAAAATTCAGTGGGCATGGACTTCCAATGAAGAGATGGAACCCACTCAGCTTCCCTCAGCACCTTCAAGATCTCCTCCACGACTATTTTGCTTCCCTCTGCAGATAAATGAACGCCATCTCTGGAAAAAAGAGAAGGGAAGAACTTTAAAATTGAAGATCGAAATGTATGCTACTTTCAGTTTAAGTCAACCGCAGACATTCAATTCACATTTTTTATGATTGTTGTCGTAGTAAAAGGAGAAGATAACACGGCAATCTTAAATCATTTGGATACATACTTCCCCAATGGAAACTAACATTAGCCAGTAAAAATAGTGACAGAGGAAACATCTAGTGATTTATAAGCTGAATTAACCAACACAGCCTGCCTGCCGTGGAGATTGAAGGAGAGACAGCATATAATTAATTAATCCACGTAGACCTGAGTCCACAGAGCAGATTCTGGGTTGTGCACAAAGAAAGACATGCTAAAAATACAACTAAACTGTAAAAATACCCCTGAATTATTGATCGTTTTGATTGACACCCCTATCATCCTTTTTTCTTTTGATTTTAATTTATGAACTAGGAAGTGTTTGGATTAGGATCACCGTTCACCGCGAAAACTCCACTGTTCTGACAAGCAAATCAACCACCAGAATGACTATCTCAAACTCCCAAACAAAATTTCAATATCAAAAACCATTTTTAAAACCAAATCAAAAAAACTTTGAACCCTTATAAAACTTGAATTTGGTGATGGTTGGGTTTAATACTTGCATGTATGAACTTGCATCAACTGAAACTTTCATTTGATGGAAGTTTGGTCTCGCTGCCAGTAGCAGTCAGAACCTAACAGGAGGTGGTGCTTATAATCGAAGGAAAAAACTATAGAGGTTCTCAATGAGCAGTTCAAGGGGTCTTGACATGTTTTGGCCCAAAAAAGACCATCTGATATAGCAGCATAAACTAACCCACCAAAGCTGGCTAAGGATATCTTTCTATCACGGGAAAGAAAACAGATTGATGGCCTAACTTATCATGGCAATGCAAAAACAGAAAGTGGGGATCATCCATCTGGCTTTTGCAGATGAGAGCGTGTATAGAAGTGTGGTTGTGGTTGTTTTTCAAAGTGTTTTTCACTTAGAAAAGTATATCAATAATATTTTTTTATTTTTTAAAAATTATTTTTGAGATCGGCACATCAAAATGATTTAAAAACATCAAAAACATATTAATTCAAAACAAAAAAAAAAATCAAATTTTTTTTAAAACACTTTTAAAATGCAGTGTCAAACACACTGTTAATAAGAAAGGAGTCTCTAAATTGCACAAGTATGAAAAAGTAAAAATGCATATCTGCAGCCCGTGAGATTGTGTAGTCGAATGATACCATACCATACTGCAATTCTGTGCAGACAAGTAATTGAAATTTCAGCTTGATGTCTTTACACTTATCCTAAGATAAGAGCAATTATCCTTATAACCACAAAAATCAACAATCAAAAGAGTTTTATCCAAATTGAACAAAAAAAAAAGAAGCAAACTACCAATGGTTTGAAAGCTTTTCTACCTGCACGTACAAAATTAATACAAAATTAAGAGGAAAGGAAAATAAGGCTTATCAATAATTGTGTGTGAGAAAATACCTCCACGTCTAAGTATCATGCAGAAAATGCAGACATGATGATACATGAGGGAGACCATGAAAAAACACATAAGACAACATACACTTGTGAACCTCGATCATGTTTGCAAAAGCAAGATACAGAAAACTTACGTAAAGCAAGCTTTTGTCCAATCATCTCTTTTTTGAAAGGCAGAGAAAAGATCAACAACCTCCACGCCCATTTCCTGGCATAGTTTTATGCAAGCATTGGAATAATTTTGGCACAGCTCATTTGTTCGTATCAATTCACTGAAAACTCCACTGAATTTAGAAAAATATGTTGTTCAGAATTTCTATGATAAGAAAGAGAGAAGAAAAAAAGAAGATAGAAGTGATGTATCAGAGCACCTTAAGCCTGAACCAACTCTGGTCTCATCAACGGGAGGACAACTCAGAAAAATGATGCGTGTTGTATCTGAAAGGCTCTGATTTTCAAATATACTGCGTTAGAATAGACATCAAACCTCATTCTCTGAAGAGCTCGGGGTCAGAATACAAGATATACAAGATGAAAGAAAATTGAACATGGCCCAGCAATCAGGAATTGAATAAAAAAACTACTCGAGCTTTTGAAGGCATTCAAGAGCAGAATTAGAACAACATTTTCCATCTGAATCCTCATCGCAACCATAAAAACCTCCCAGTTTTTTGTTCCCCTCAAAAACTAAGTTTACCATAATTCTTATCTAACGACTCAAGGAGAAAGATTGTTTTAATTTCCTTACATCTAATTAGGGTTGTTTCATTCATATTACGGAGGTGCATCAACCATGATCTATTTGTATAGTGAGATTGTATATTTAAGAATCAGGAGAAGACCTTGAGATGAATTGCAATCTTTCTCATGTTCTCGATGTATTCATTAAGCGGTACATGAGGGCCCAGGCCAGACGAGTGAGGCCCCATCGAATCATTACCACCAAAATAAACTATCACCAGAGATGGTTGCACAGGAGCTTCCTACAATACATGAAAAATAATCAATGTCACTAGCACAGAGACGCGTTTCCTCAAATAGATCTTACAGTGAGCCCATTTAAAATGATAAAACTTTCACTAGCTTCCTCTGTAATGATCAGTTTTCATGTGTGATCTGTTCCAAAAAAATTAGCACATTGATATAATACCTTCGGAAAAACTTGATCGAGAACCTGGATAGCACGCCGCGAGTTCCATCCATAGTACCCTCGCAACAATATGTCTGCCTGCAACACAATAAGATTAACCTAATCAGACGCCGAGAATGGCAATTTGATTCACTTGACGGCCAAAACAGTGACATAAATATCAACTAGGGCAAATCTTTTCACTTCAATCTCAACGTAATTTAGAAACAAGTCAAGCAACATTTAAGCATGTTAAATCAAGAGAGTAATTAATACTTTGCGAGAGTAGATATCGGAGAGGATGGAACCCCAACCGCCATGGCTGAAGCAGAGTTGTACAATGGACGATCCAAAGAAAACAAATTGCGGTCTACTCGGTCCCACCATTTTCACTGTCGTGAAAATCTGTTTTTTCGTTTTCTTTTTTCTTTGAACACAAAACTCCTCTCTCTCTCTCTGCTTGGCTGTGAGTACTGAAATGGTAGCGGCTCGACACTACATTATCATCGAAGGAGGGAGGATAGAGAAACTCGTGAGAATCGAGGACTTACGGCTTTTATTGCCCAATTGCAGGAACCCTCATTAAAAGAGGTGTCCAGGTCCGTCACGTACTTGTTCCGTAACAGTGGCAAGTCTCTCTCTTCATTGATTTCTTTCCTCCAATTTTGCGAGTTCTGTTCATTCCCTTCCCCACAAATTATAACACGAAATATAAAATAACCCTATACGATATTTCCACTGAAGAAATTACCTGTCTTTGTAAAGAAAACAACAGTAATAAACAAGAAATCAAAAAAAAAAAAATCTTTATCGTGAAATAAAAAGAATATTAAAAACTTCATACCTTTACTGTCAAAATAAAATCATTGACGATGAGTCCATGATGATAGGATTTTCATCGATGAATCTCAGACTATATTCTTGTATTAATTAACTACCCACGAAGACTTACAACTACATAATATATAGTTGCTGTTTACTATAAAATGGCAAAGGCGAGTCTATTCCCACCTACTCGCGAGAAATTAGACGAGAAACATTTATGTGCGCCGAAGAAGTAACGAGTGTGAATAGCCCGGCACCAAACAACACCAACCATTTATGTCTTCCCCATTAATGAAATGCAATAGTTGCCACTGCAACTTGGACAGCCCACCACTGACCACACCCACCACGATGCCCATCCGGATGTTGACTCTACTTGCCTTGGGCAAACTTTCACTAATTTCATCAACCAACCCATCTGCACATGCAATCCATGGAAATTTCAATTAACAATAGCTCTTCAAGACCATGAACAACCACCTATATAAACAGATAGAAGAAGGGGGATACCTGCACACTTGAAAAGGACCAAAAAAATGCATATCTCATATAAAACCAAATTTCGAGTGCACATGGTCATTTATCATGCATAATTAATAAGCTGGATCTCCGAAAAGTGAACTTAGTATCAAATACATGAACAAATATCTGAACAAGTATATGGTTAACCATCCACGATGTTACCTGTAAGCAAAAAAAAAGGGAAAACCCTAGGTAGGGTATTCACAATCAAGTCCACAGTGGGACGATCTGCAATGGCAGTATCTGTCATGAACAATGTGCGGATAAAATTAAATAGAGGTTAAAAGACAAACCCCACAAGTTATTTCCTACATGTATAAGCGATTCACATGAAAACTTAATTCCATCAAACACGTACAAAACTTTTTTTCAGTTAAAGGGACAGCAAAGAATACCCTCGCAGACAACTTTTGGCCATCATGTGTTCTAGCTACATGAACAATAAACTTATCAATGGCGGCCACAAGGTGTCTCTTCAAGCTCTTTCTTGAAAACCTCACACGCTTGATCATACGAAGAAATTTGTTCTCAGCATTGACTCCCTCATTGTCTGAGCAGGCTCATCTGGTACTAATTATTCCTGTATGGACAATAAACTTATCATCTAATACCACTCAACTAATTAATTACTCAAAGGCCAAATAACCCATCACACACATTGACTTGACAGAACAGATACAGAATTTGATTTCACGCATGCTTGAAGACGGTGTTTGTTTACAAGAGAGTGTTTGTTTATGTGGTTAGGGTTGCGTTTTAATTGAAATATAATTTGTAGTTGTTTGGTAAAAAAAATTTTGATTTACTTTACATGGATAGCACGCAATTTTTACGGTTAAAATATAATTAATAAAAAATAGATAAATACTACTTTTTATTCATTGTTACATTAATGGTACTGTTCAGTGAAGGTTTTTTTTTAAAATTTTTTTAAGTGTTAATTTTTTTAATATTTTTTAATTTTATTAATGTTTTTTTAAATGTTAATTTTATTAAGATTTTTTAATTAATATTTTTTAATTTTATTAATATTTTTTAAGTGTTAATTTTATTGATATTTTTTTAAGTGTTAATCTTATTAATATTTTAAAAAAACTAGTTTATAATGAATTAAATTTATTTGCACTGTGATGTGAATAATATTTTTTTTCTCGAAAAACTAATATAGAGTAAATTAAATTCACTCATATTGTAATATCAATTTTATACTTGATAATATTTTATCTAATTTTATTACACGCTTAAAAAATTATGAAAACTGTAATTCTTATCGAATGAATTTTATATGTAATGTAATTATAAATAGTTCAATAAAATAAAAAAATATTTTATATAAAGTATTATTTATTTCATGATATAATATGAGTAATTAATTCTATAATAGTTAAATTTAAAATTATCAATATTAATATATATTTTTAAAAATTATTTTATAACTTCAATTTCAAAAGTTTTTTTAACCAAATACATTAAATTATTTTTTTTCAATTTTAATTTCAACCACAGTTTTAACCAAATATCTATTTTTTTAAACTAACCTCAATTAAAAATATTTTTTATAAAACAATTTTTTTCAAACCACAGCCACAATATCTATATATCTACCGTAACACCAAACACACTCTAAGAAGCAGGCTGAAAGCACACCGGCTGCCCAGGGTCTTGTTACCCAAGCAAAGAGCTCGCCTATAATATTGTTACCGCTTCTGTTTTTTTATCTAACTATAAAAATAAAATTAAAAATAAAAACCCTTTTTAGTTAACTAAATATTTTTTTATTTTTTACACTGAACCTGTATATATAATTGCATCAAATCTTGATTTTATTTTTTTAACAAAGAGCTTTCATTAAAAATATTTTTAAAACCATGTTTAAAAGTATTTTCTTTAATTTATTCTTTAAAATCACACACAGATTGATATGTTCACGTTCAGTTTTCATTTTATAGATGAACAAAAACAGAGTAACCTCTCCAAAAACTCGTGAAGTTGTGAAAACATGCAACTGCGTAACTAGAATTAGCTTATTCTATATCCAAGTATCGTTAAATACCGTAGAAATATCTATTTGAACTCGGACTGTTCGACCGTCATTAATCATATTAAAAGAAAAAAAGTAGAAGTTATACTGCAATATAACTGCTCGCGGTTAGATAGTTCCACCAAAAAAAAAAAAAAGGTTAGCAAATCGACAAGCTACGATGTCAACTTGTCAAGCAATTTCTCGTATTCTCCAACGACCTATGAATCGCTCTGTTTTGAAATACAAACCAAACCAGTACTACTAACACAAACAAAGCTACAAGATCAATTTACAGTTGTTCTGTAATTGCCAACATTTTGGATAATTCAATCAGCAAAACAGATCATTGAAATCCGAAGGGATAAATCAGAAGAGACTGACCCACTTTCTTGCAGTCAAGGCTGGTTTACTGTTCAAGACAGTTGATTCGATGATTGTACTGCCTAAGTTGACAAGAGAATCCTCGAGTGTTCTGCCTCCAACGACCATCAATTTTTCTGTTTCATTCCTTGTCAACTCTCAGTGTTGCTCTGACAAGCACTTGCCAGTTGGTCTACATGCAATGCCGCTAAAAATCAAGGGCACCGCTTCTGGAGGACCCAGAACAGCCACCAGATGTGCCATATGAAGTCCCACTTGAACCATCAATAGGGGCTTGATTTAGACATTCTAAAACTAAAAACCGTCGCTTTTGCAATTTTATTGAGAATGTCGTTGCCTCAAGAATCATGGGAACCTGTCGAAAATTTGAAACAGCAGAACTGTGTAACCTGAAGTCATGATGATAAACAAAATGGTACAAGGTCTTTGGAAAGACCTGAGTTCCCAGTCAGAACTAAAAATTGCAAACTTGAGCTGCTATTCTATATGGAAATTTCAAGGAAAGAAAAAAAGGTTCTGAAATAATATGCATGGCAGGTAAAGAAAAAAAGGTTCTGAAATAATATGCATGGCAGGTAAACATAGCACATTCAATTGAACCTGCATATTTTGATGAAAAATAGTATATGGCGATATTTTAATAGGAATCAAACTATTTCAAGGCCAACGATTGAATCCAACATGCCTTAAGCTCGGCATGTCACAGGGTTAGGTGAATAGGACGCCACTCTTAATGTGTATCTGTGCATGCATGTCTACTTGCTTATTTTGAAAGCCCATGCATGGCAAAGTAGAGAATACACGTGGCATATGATTACAGCAAAGCACCCTGATTTTGCACCTGAGTATTGATACGTGCTATTTTGTGCACATTAAGGAAGCCAACCATGTCTTGGTAACCAGTTAGGAGTTTTCCCAACTCCTTGTCCTCATCTGGGAAAAAGCACTTGTTCAGAAGTTTAGAAAACTAAAATAACCACAAAAGCACATGTGAATATCAATAAACCTGGGATTGCTTTGACAGACAGTAACACATCTGCCATGTGCTGCCATCTTTTACAGAAGGATGGTGAAAGAAGGGAAGATGGAAATGTAATAATAGCAACTGCGTTTGCAGACCGTAGCATGCTTTTGAGAGATCTAATGAAGGAAAGCATATCCCAGTCCTGCAATGTAACATTTGTTAACAAAAGTCCTGTACGAATCACAAAATGAATAGTAATGGGTTTCAATATGAAAAGAAGATAAATGGCAATCAAGATTCTTTAATTAAAACAGGCCAAGGACAAGATTTTTCCAGTTTAGAAAACCTTACCAAAGAGGAAAGGCACTGGAACAGTCTAAATTAATGCAAATCATAAACCAAAGTTGTGAGGAGATAGGGTTCAAGTGCAAATGTATTTGCCACTGACCATTTTGGAAAGTTCACATTGTGGAGCACATAATGACTGAATAGCAATACGACCCATGCAAGAAAAACTTCCATCATTTCTGGAGAAAATAACCAGAAGATGGTAAGAATAATATATGAAAAACTAGAAAAGTAGCTAAATCAACAGAAACCCAAAACAGATAGTCAAAGATCAATTTTATGTCCAGCACTATCATCCAAACAGGAAATAGCTTGAGAAGCTTTCCAATCTCTTTGTGGAGAAATAAGCAAAGGAAATATAACAAATAAATGAAGAAATATAAAAATAATTATCATGCCAAAGCTGTTTCTTAACACTCACACGCTTAAGCACAAGCATGTATGGTCTTTTCCGATTCTATTTGCAGAGAAATGTGTATGATGAAGTTTAACAATAAATGAAGAAACATGAAACAAAATTAGCAGCATGCTAAACTGTTTCTTAAAACGCACCCACACATCTGGGTACACAAGCTCATGTGATCATGCAAGCATTTATAATGTCACCACCCAAGATGTTTGAGCTATCAAGATATCATGCAGACCTTGTTCAGATGTTTGACATTTTGTTAAAACCCAAAATGTATTTGCCTAAGATATCTGATTAAGGGAGCATACAGCATTACCTTGGAAATTGAGCTAAAAATGTGGCACAACGGTCATGAAGAGTGGCCGGGTTAGGAGAATCTTTGATGCTGACACAGTCTACACGCTGCCCACTGTAAAAATGCTTCTCCAATGGTTTCCGCAAGTCAAAATCATTGCAAAACTCTTGATTACTATCTGCAACATAACGATGTATGGAAGCCAGACTTATCTCCATTCATTCCCACCACTGAACATACATGATATTTACTAAAAGACTCTCAAACAGAAGCTGAATGCAAGATCAAATTCAATAACTTGTCTTCTGAGGTCATTCAATAACCGCTTCATATCTAGATTCCTTATTGGATCAGCATGGCAAGGACAACAAAGTTGCACCCTTTTTTTACGATGTCATATTTAGTCTTTATACTTGACCTAAATGTTCAATTTCTCCATTATTGTGTTCATAGTCAATTCTTTTGAATCCATGAAAGTGTAAGAGAAGCTTTAAATATACGTGTATTGCACCTCTTGTTTACCCTTTAAGCATTATAGCATAAATACCTGAAACTGCTGATAACAAAAAATAATGGTACCCTTTTTATCAAAGCTATGAAGTGCAGCCTAGTGAATTTGCACGCTCAGAAAACATGTTTATTCTGGACAGGCTTGCTTGAAAATTATTCCAAGTGATCAACTTCCGACAATTTATCTCATAACACCAATTCTATGCAAAGATGCAAATCATGATTAGTGTATTAAATCTACAGAAGAAATGGCAAGCCCAAAAAGCTCACCTTTATGATCATCAATATTTCGCTGATTTTCACTGAAATACTTTTTATACTGCCAAGCAATTCTCAGTCCCTTTTCCTGCAATCAGTTAGATAAGTGGTACAAACTCATGTCACCCAAACAAATACAGAAAAACGAAATAAAAACTGCATAGTAGAAATCAGTATGAAAACGAGAGCACCTGTTCTGTATAATGATTACGGGATTTATCATCTTTAGATGAGGGACAAGGCAAAGTACCCAAAAATCCTCTAGGGTCTTTAGCTGGACTGGCATAAAGAAGAGGTTGGTTTTGAACAAGTCCTTGAGACATGAAATTCCTCAGTAACAGCATGTGATGAGGAGCTTCCGCATCTTCCATTATCATAACTAAGCCTCCCAAAGGAAACCCACCACCCAGTATCTCTACATAAGATAAAAGAAAGAAAACTCAAAACAATATCAATTCATTTGATTGTTGTTAACCGAATCCTGCCTCCAGTAAGTGCAAGAAACTACAGAAAAGTAATGTAGAGAGGTTACTGTCAAGGTCAGGTATCCCAGATGAAACAAAGAATGTGCCATTAGGACCGCACTTTATTCCAGGCAACTGAGGAGCAGACACAGCTGATATATTGCGAGAGAAGCTGCTTATTCGGGTCTTGGTCGCCGCCATTGCAAGCGTCGCCAAGTTAAACTTCTCTAAACAGAAAAGCACAATGCAGCTCTATTAGGATTACAATGCTGGCATTTCTTTTACAAGCCATGAACAGTTGGTAACAGAACCAAGAACAATAATAATTGGCATGTGCTTTTCATCGAACAACTGGAGTGCATCACAAAGAGTTTCATAGCCTGCAAATTCCAACCAAACTACCCAAGAAAGGATAGCTCAAAGTCCGAGAATTATGGTTTTTTGAACAACTGGTGTAGTTTTATAGCTGGTAAAATCTATGCGTTAATAATAAAAAAAAAAAAAAAGACAAAAGAAACAGCGAAACAGAGAAGTGTACTAAAACAGCGCAAGACAACAGTGATGAAACTAGATCACAGTGTAACTTTCTTACGTCTTTCCCTTGTATTTCTGAGCAAACAAACAGAGGCTTCCTATTGCGTGCGTTCAACGCTTCACCTCGTCTTGGCTCTCTCGACGTGCGTAGACTCCTAGTTCGCTGTATACAAGCAGTCTTCTTTCGGCCTTCGGCGAGCCGTTTTTCTTTTGGCGTCTCAACCCTGATTCTTTATTAAACCTCAACCGGCTTGACCGGTGAATTCAATAAAAATTTTAAAAAATATTTTAAATTTTAATATTTTATATAAATTTTTTAAAAATAATTTATGATATATATATAAAATAAAAAATTCGAACTGCAAGATCAGGTTTTACCTATTTTGGTCTTGGGTAAACTCGCGGGTTTCATATAACAATGATGAAAGCATTGCCAAAAATACTATTGAAGCTAGGCCAGCGTTAAAATTATTTTTCAAGTAAAATGGTCTTTTTATGATGGGCCATGGGGACCAAATCATACAATATGAGGTTCTTTTTTCTGGTTTCGACTTTTGTGTATTTTGAACCAGATTTCAAGCCCATGTCCAAGTTCTGGTGAAGAATTTAGATTCTCTTCAAACATTGCTCCAGAAAAACCATATGGAATCCTATTTAGGACCCAGATTAAAAACATGGTTATCTTCCCGACATGCCATCGTCAGTGTATTTCGTTTAATAGTAAAATAAGAATCACTAAATCAGAAAATCGAGGGCAAAAATCAACAAAGAAAAAATGAGCATGGATCGTCCCGGTTCATGCCTTCATGCTCGTGAGAGAGTTATAATTCCTCCTTTTCAAATAGGTCTCATCACCGGTATGACTCGGAAGTGAGTCCGTAACCTAAGTATTTGTTAAACAGTTCTGCTATCAAGTGCAGTGAGATACGCCCCTCAATCAAACATGATAAATAATAGCTTTTCGATGAAAGATTCTTCTATTGTCTTAGAAAAATTGATGAAATAAATAGTGGATAATGGGTGTGAAATGTAATATATATACGTGATGTGCTAATCTTAATTTTCTTGCATGCTTTCTAGAAAGCCAAACAGCATGTAATAGCAAGACCATCGTATTCATGCGTGTCCCAATTTCTCCGAGTGGAGTGCGCGTGTGTTGCTAATTAAATATGTAGGCAGGGGTCACATTTTTCTTTTCTTTCTAGCATGTTCTAGTGTTTTGTGACGAAGGGGCCACATTTTTTTAGTGTTGTTCCCCCCCCCGGCAGAGGCATGCTTTTGTTTTGTTTCTGAAAATAATTCAATCTTTTTTCCTGTTACGTGGCGCATAAGAACTTGAATAGCTTAAAGAACAATCCAAATGGCTAGGATATTGCCCTAAAATGGGTCATTCCCCCCCTCCTTGGAAGCTTCCTTGTAGTTTCTTATCTTGTGACAAATGTGAAATATCGTTGGCGTCTTCTATTTGCTTCTTGTAAATGGTTCCTTAATTATTTTTGCTGTAATGAATGGTTTATTCCAAAAGACTGCTCAATCAAGCAGGGTAAGAAGGAAACTTGTACTTCACTAAGCTGCCGCTAAAGCCAAATCCGCAACTTGAAAGGTAGGTATCGATCGAGTGTATGATTTCTCCATGTTTTGGTAACTGAATCTAACATTCTGTTTATTTTTTATTTTAAAAATGTTTTTTAATATTTTTTTATTATTCTCTTTACTTTAAAATATTTTTTTTTAGTGTTTTCATATTATTTTTATTTACTAATATAAAAAATAATTATTTAAAAAAACATTATTTTAATAAAATTTTAAATAAAAAATATTTTAAAAATAACTACCATTGCAATTTCAAAAATTCAATTCACTGGACAGAGTCGCAGATAATAATTTGGTCACAGTTTGCAAGAGTTGGTACTTTGGTGAGAAAAAAAGTTGGCTATCCTGGAGGAATTTGGTCCCGTTAGGCGTTATGCAGGTAATAAATCATTGACTCGGATTGGTGAATGTAATTATAAAAACAGTGGTCATGAATGAGCCTAGAACGCCACCTAACTGTTAGGATTGAAAATGCTGCAAATTTTCCTTGCAATTGGTTACTCTCCTTCAGTCTCCATTGGTAATGGTCGCTTCTGACGAAGAAACATGACGACTTAACACGTAAGCCTCGTGGACCATGCTTGTAAAATAAATGTCTGCTAGAAATCTAGAATTGGCCCCGGTATATGCAAGATTTGACTCGTAACCCCGCTAAGGCGGCTCCGGATGCATGCATATAGCCATCGGGTTTTTACTCGACTACCTGGCATGTAAGCAAGATATCGTCCCGAGACAATCGAAAACAATGTGAATCGGACCTCTGCGGACTTTGACAAATAAATCGAGTATAATAAAGAATGCGTGGCAACTCCATCAAGGAAATGTTTTAAAAGTTTTTTAAGTGAGCGATTACGCAAGACATATAATTCACAGCTGAAATTTCCTGAGCTGTACTGTTTTTGCCAACCTATTGCTCTGTCTCTCTCTCGATAGGTATCCTGTTTTATTGCCTTGGTCCGTAAGCAATGATATAATAAAGGGATTTCTAAAATAAAATAAAATTGATACAATAAAGAGAACTCCTATTTATATTGACGTTTTATATATATATATATATATATATATATATATATATATTTGCAACACGTTAATATAATTTTAAAAAATTTAAATTCAAATATAAAATTTTATAAAATCATTACAGTGTGTATAAAACCGTGCATAGAAACATCACATAATTAGATGTATTGGGATTTTAAACCACTTTTTTTTTTCTTGTAGAATTAATTTAATCTCACATTGTTACTGGATTTTAATAATATTTTGTGATGAACTAGCTGCTATCGAGCTATTTGTCGAGCTTATCTTGATGCAGGATTTAGAATAAAATGAAGATTTTCATTACTAAAAAGAAAAGCAACAAGAAGATAACGAGGTAAGTTTTCTGAAACAAGTAGTTAAAAAATTCCGGGCAGACATCAGCCATTCACCAACTCCCAGCTGCCCTCCCATGAGATGATGTATATTCATGTGCTTTCGAGTGAAACATACTCCTGCACTAGTCCATTCAATTGAAAAACACTAGCTTGTTCGTTCAAATCCCTGACTTAATGAAATTTAAACATTATTCGATCACACTTTTCCATTGGGATTCTGATGGTATACACTGCTAATGTATTTTCACCAGTCATTTTTCAGCACGGACCTAATTAAAGCTTCGACATTCGCCCCTTGACCTTTTCCCAGTCAAGGGATTCGGTGGGGGGGAAGTTGGTCTCCTTGCTCGGCTTCCAGGCTATTGAAATGCAATTTCTGATACAGTACTAAAGAGACAGCACGACGCCGTAGAACGTTTTCAACGGTGCTGAGGATCTTAATAGAACGCATTGAACGGAGTTGGATAAAAGGCCATCTCACCTGCATATAGGCTAGCTAGCTTACAACTGCATTAAAGGCATATAATCTCTGGTTGGATAACGTCGCGGCATATGACAAATTGAATCTGGTATTTGTTGTTAACTACCAAGGAATTAATTAAATCACGAGAATTGTTTATTTTTTACTTTTCGTCTGCACTCAACTACTCGTAAGTTTAAAGGAAGGAAAATCAATTGAAATAAGAGAAAAGCCGAGACTCCTATAAAGAAAAACCCTAAAGATTCGCAAAGATGAACTGTTGCATGTGCCCACATGATCCCAGCCAGTCGGTTCCACCATGCCCGCTTGATTGGTATGGGTTATTATATTTATCGATACCATGCAGTCATGGACTGTTATTGTGGTCGTTGAACATGATTCATTTTTAGTTGTAAATAAAAAAGAAAGAATAATCAACACAGGATATCTGTCTATAACCAACGATGCATGATGGCCAAAAAAAAGAGAGGAAAGGAGATTGTTTCTCAATTCATCGGGGGAGCCTCGAACATATTGATTCCCGGTCCTATCTGTCTAGTATTATTGTAACGAATTTGAAAAAAAAAATAGAATAAATGGTTTGATCCTCCTCTTATCCATGAATTGGGATTCTAATTCATGCAAATACAAATGATATAACGAGAGTACATCATAACAATAAAAAATAATGAATTTAGAATAAAAATAACTTTTAACATTTTTTAAAATACTTTTAAAAATACAAAAACAAAAGACTGGTACCACCTGCATACGAAAAGGCATTTTTGTGACTGCTAGAATTTTTCACTCTATTTTCATTAATATCTTACACGTGAAATTGAATTAGATGTCAAGCTCTGTATTTTCCTCGCCAAACCAAGAGACCACAGACAAAGCAGGGAAAAAATACAACAGAAACTTCCACCTCTGCTGTATGCAATAAATAAGAAAACCTATAAACTGTCGTTAATTGTCACTTAATTAACAATAATTTAAAAAGATGGGGGGAAAATACGTTTTCCGTACTTTTTATTTTTGTTCTACTTATATATTTTAAATATAATAATAATAATAATAATAATATACTAAAGTACTTTGTTTTCTTTTTTATTTTTTTTATTTTTTTCCTGTTTTTTATGCCTTTCGGGTTTTTTTTATTTGTGTTTTTTATGGTTTTTTTTAATTTAGTTTGTTAATGTTGAATTATTTTATTTAGTTATCAGATTTTCATGACACAAATTCCGTGTTTTTGACAAGTTAATCTATTTTTTTTTTCTTTTTTTCTTTTTATTTGGAATTTTTATGTGGTTTAGTTTATTATTGTTAAATTTATTTTTATTTAATTATCAAACTTGTATGATACGTATTATAGGCTTGATGATTAACCTGGTTTGATGGATTAACCCATCAATTTTTTTCTATTTAGTTATCATATTTTCACAACACGAGTCTTAAGTTTAATGGGTTAATCTAATTTGAAGGGTTAATCCAATTAATTCAAATTGTTTTTTCTTTTTTTCATTAGTTTTTTTTTCTATTAGATTTTTTCTTTTCAATCAATCTATCTAATTATCATACATTTATAATATAGCTTTATAGTCATGCCTGTATCTAAAGTTATTAGGTTCATTTTTGTAGCTAAACACACTTAAACTTGTATCATGTAAGTTTAATATTATTTTTGGGTCAGACGTTGTAGTTAAATTCAAGATTCTTATGTATAATTTTTTAAAAGGATCTAATATTTTTAAATCTTAATTTTTTTAATATTTTTTATATAAA